TAATGTTCACAGTGGGAAGAGTGCCATAAGCCGTGGGGGTAGGCTGGCCTATGGCCAGGTAGTCCCTGCTTCTGAGCCTCCCTGCACTTGACTTTTGCACCCCACCCCTGGTATTTGGGCTTCCCAGGTGGCAGCAGTTGTAAAGAATCCTCCTGCCAATACAGGAGATGTAGGAGATGTGGGTTTGATCCTTGGATCGAGAAGATCCTGGAGGAGGAGATGACCACTCACTCCAGCGTTCTTGCATGGAAAATTCCATAGAGAAGCTAGCGGACTATGGTCCATGGGGTCACAAAGAGTCAGACCCAATGAGTGACTGAGCATACAGAGACCCCTGCATCTGCAGCTCACTCCAGTCTTCTTTGACTCCCAGCTGGCCTAGTAGGGGGAACAGCAGGGGCAACTTGGCCAAGGTTAACATGAACAGCTTACAGGTAAATGTGTTCTTGGAAAAGAAAACAGATGTAAGTTGGTGAAAAACCTGCTCTCCGAGTGGAAAAGAGCTGCCTCAGTTTCCCATCAGCTCTTAGATTCAGTAAGTAGAGCCTAAATGTTTGTTAAATACTGATCACTGGTCACCTCTGACTTCTGCTGCATCTGCAGTGATGGGCTGGGAGGGGACAGAGGCTCTTCAGTGTGGTCCTCATTAATGACACTACCAGTTGCTATATGTGTGTGTATATGTATACATATACACACACATATATATAGTATATATATATAGGAGTCACTCAGTGGTGTCCAACTCCTTGCAACCCCATGGCCTATAGCTCATCTTTCTCCTCTGTCCATGGGATTCTCCAGACAAGAATATTGGAGTGAAACAATCAAAAAAGAATACTGGAATGGGTCGCTATTCCCTTCTCCAGGGATCTTCCCTACCAAGGGATCGGACCCAGGTCTCTCGCGTTGTGGCCAGATTTTTACGGTCTGAGCCACCAGGGAAACCCCCAAATGAGAACCAATTAAGTGGTCAGCAGTTGGAAAAAGCAAGGAATGAGGTGATGGGTCCAGCTCCCATAGATGCAACATCTTTTCTTCAATAATCCATCCTTTCTTCACCAGAAAAATCTTACATATTTTAGCCTATGTGGTAGTTATTCTTACTTCATTTCCCCCAAAACTGTATTCTTTGATTACAATGAGTTTTCCCACTTTCTTTTAATTTTTTAATAGCTGCTAAGTCTTTAATTGGGCTTCCCAGGTGGTTCAGTGGTAAAGAACCCACCTGCCAATGCAGGAGACATGTGTTGGATCCCTGGGTCAGGAAGATCTCCTAGAAAAAGAAATGGCAACCCACTCCAGTATTCTTGCCTGGGCAATCCCATGGACAGAGGAGCCTGGCTGGCTACAGTCCATGGGGTCACCAAGAGTCAGACACAATTGAGTGACTGAACAACAACAAACAGACATCTCTAATTACTTTTTGCATTAAAAATTGACCACAATCAATATTCCCTATTGATGAGCCACAAACATTGTGTGTGTGCTTGAGTGTATTTTCTTTTTTTCATTTGGGGTATAGTAGCTTTAAAATATTGTCTTAGTTTCTGCTGTATACATATAGCTGATTCAGTTCTTGCCTTCTCCTCTCACTTCCTCTTGTTCCTTTTTCATCTCTACTTGCACCAGAGTTTGGTTTTTATTTTACAGTGACTTCTTGTTTCATCAAGGTCAAATGTCTTACATCTTATTGAAGACCAAAAAAGCGGGTATTTTCTAAAATATTTTCCATTACTCTAGTAAATCATTTTCAGAGTTGGACTCCTCTGTATACCTGAGTAATGCTTCTATTCTTTTTTGCTATAGAAAAAATCTCCAGGCCTCAGGGTTCCATTTTGGATGTTTGGTTTGTGTGTGTGTGTGTGTTTACTAATCTTTGAATGGGCTTATTTATATTCCAATATGACATTTTGAAGTAGTCATTCCTTAATTAAGGAGGTATGAATTTTTCAAAAATTGATATTTGTTTATCTTCTGGTGGGCAAAGTGTTCCAAAAACTGAATTACATATAACGATTTGTCTTCAAAGGGCCTCTGATTTATGAAAAGTTAAGACAGGTATACTAACTATAGTGAAAGGCAGAAAGCCAGGTGGGGGACATGGGTAGAATTCATAACTTCTGCTTGTGGCCTTTTTCATAGATGATACAAAGTAAAACCATGACACTGAGATTGAGAAGGACTGACTGTGCATAGTTCAATGTTGTTCTAAGTTGCAACTATGGGACCTCCCTGGTGGTCCCGTGGGTAAGACTCCAAGCTCCCAATGCAGGAGGCCTGGGTACGATCCCTGGTCTGGGAACTAGGTGCCCCATGCATGCCAAGGAAGATCCTGTGAGCCACAACTAAGACCCAGCACAGCAAAAACACATAAATAAGTTGCAGCTATCAGGAATTAAGAGCACTGAGGTTATTTCCAATTGATATTACCTTTTTCTTCCTTAGTAAATATGGAAATGGATAAGGAAATGGCAACCCACTCTAGTATTCTCGCCTGGGAAAATCCCATGGACAGAGAAGCCTGGCAAGCTACAGCCCATAGGGTCGCAGAGTTAGATCCGACTAAACAACAGAAATATGGACAAATACTAGCAAATGCCATAGTGCCAACATTTCTATGCTATAAATCAATGAGTGTAAAGAATTTTACATGTTATTACAGTATTCGTTAAAAATGACTACATTGCATTGTAAATTACTGTTGTGCAAGGAAGCTTCAAGAATGTTACCAAATATCAGTGGAAAATAAATGAGAGATTTTCTTCAGGTTGAACAGTTTCCCAAAATATTTTATTTTCCAGTGATGAAAACATGCAACATCTACCTTTGTTTTACACCATTTTACACTGGTATAGGTACATTGATCAATTGTCTCAATTATATTCTTTTGTGAAAAGGCAATTTAACAAAACATTATTACAGGGAACTTGCATTTTATGCCTAGGTTTTATTCTATTTGCTTTTCTGTTTTTTTTTTTCAAGTGTACCAAATGTTTCAAAAATTTGTTTAAAATTCCATGTGGCTCAGCCAGTGGTAAAGAATCCACCTGTTAATGCAGTAGACATAGGAGACTTGGGTTCCATCCCTGAGTTGGGAAGATCCCTTGGAGGAGGAAATGGCAATCCTCTCCAGTATTCTTGCCTGAAAAATCCCATGGGCTGGGGAGCCTTGCAGGCTACAGTTCATGGAGTCGCAGAGAATCAGACAGGACTGAGCAACTGAGTACATACACACGGATTTAAGATATTATTTTAATGTTGACATTAAACACCAAGACTGTGACCAATGATAGTCTTAAGCTTAGCTAATTAATATGTGATTTAAAACCAAATAGAAAAAAGTATGATATCCAACCCTAAGCAGGGGTGAACTGTTCACTTCACAGGTCCCTATCTGGATATCTGCTGTAACAGAGCAAAGAGCCGCTAGGTGGCTCCATTAATTTAATAAAATTAAAGTCGGGAAAAGATAATGCATAGTCAGGGAACAAAATCTCTCTTGTAAGCAGAACCTTTAACCAAAGCAAGAAACAATGATCTTTAATCATGGCCTCTCAGAATAATTTGGAATATAGGGTTAAGAGTTGAACTAAAAAAAAATCTGCAAGACTGCAAAGTATGTATGGGTAATCAATTTGCTAAAGAAAATTATATTCTTAAGGACATCAATTACCAAGGGAGAGATGGTTTCAAATCTTTCCTAATTTATTACCATCTAGTTTGCCAGCTTTTCTTTTGAACTTTTTCTCTCTTTTTTTGTTTAAACTTTAGGGAAAAAATATTAAATTTGAGCATTTATTAATTCACTAAAAATTGCTTTCCAATTTCTTGACTTACAGCTGCCATCCTTATTAACATCCCAAGAAAAATATCAAAACAACTTCGTCTGGGCTATTTGGGAAGGAAAACAAAAGCACTGTGCTTACCTAAACTAACTCAAAATACAACTAAGGCAAACACTATTCTATACCATTTGCAGGGAGATTGAAAGAAACTGTGTGACAAGAATTCCTTCCCGGGTTCACAAAAGATGAGAAAAAAATGTTACATTTGAAGTGTGAGCTGCATTTTAGGTACCCAAGTTGCCTAAAGATCTCGGGATTTTATTTTTTAAGAAGTACGTTAACCGAAGACGATCATTTTCCGGAAAATACATAAGGAACTGTCAAGAAAATAAATGCAAGGTGGTGGGGGTGGGGTGGGTTCCGAACTATTAAACATTCTAAACCGTCAGTCTGCAATTGACAAATAGGAAAAAAAATTTTTTTTCCTTCTCCCCTCTCCCTTAAAAGAGAATCTCAGACCTGTCACCGCTTAAGAAACTATTTAGAACTCAATTTAAACGTAAAAGAAACAAGTTTCTTATCGTTCGAAGTCAATAAATAATGCTGGCGCGGCACTTGGGAGTCTCCACAGTATTTTGCTGGTTTTGTTTGTTTTTCCAGGCAGGAGCTATATTAGAAAACTTCATAAAAGTAGAGGGCAAGTCGTCTGCCGTAATTCGTTGAGACCGTTTTTTGTAAACGAGCGCTTCCAGCAGTTTAAATTACAGTTGGCTTTAAAATGCTAATTCCGAACCCACTTATTTAAAAGTCTTTGAAAACGTTTACCCTTCTGTTTTCGAAGACAACAAATCACACCCAAAGTCTGCGCAAACTGGACCTAAAATGCGTATCTGTTTCCCAGATAGGAACGAACCTTATCGCTATGTTTAGAGAAATCAAAAAACCGATTTCGGTCGTTCCATTCAAAGAATTCCCGAGGACAAGGGGACGCACCAAGAATGCTCCTTAATATCTACGGCGTACCTCCAAAGACTTGTAAATCCCGTCTATTATTCTCGACTAGGAGCCGACCAGTTGAGACCGGACGTGAATCCTGCAACTGATCTCAAAAGATGTAGAGGCTCCAGGTCGAAATATCAAAGGTTGGGGAGTGGGGGTGTGGGGGGGTGGTGGCAGGCAGGTGGGCTGAGCGGTCACCCAGAGTTAACTCACAGACTTTAGAACAGTCGGACTGTCCTGGAGATTTTCTCTTTGTTTTGATATTCGTTATTTTATTTCGTTCTTGTGCTGAGGACACAATGGTTAGGAATGGGGAACCGGTTGCTTGAATCTCGGAGGCGCCGGCCGCCCCCGGGCTTCCCCGGTTCTTCCCGGCCTCCCTCCGCGGCACCCCGGCCCGGAGAGGAGGGGTTGCAGCGGCGGGGCAGGCGCTGCGGGCGGCCCGAGGTTTCCGCGCGCTGGGCCGGGATGCGCGCCCGGGCAGGTGGGGCGTGGCGGGGGCGTGGAGAGCCGGGGCCCGCGGGCAGCCGCCCAGCCCCGCGACCGGCCCGGGAGGAGCCGCGCCTCCGACGGTTATAAGAGGCCGGCTCATCGGCGCTCCGCGCTCACCCATCAGTCCCCGCCCCTCCTCGCCGAAGACCCGAGTCGCCGAGCCAGGGCCGCAGGGTTGGCCCCCAAAGGGATGCTCTTGTCCGAGCGGCGAGGTCAGCCCCGCTCGCCCCTCGCCGCCGCCGCCGCGCCGCGCCAGCCGACGGCCGCCGACATGGCTCTCTACTGCGGGGACAACTTCGGCGTGTACTCGCAGCCCGGCCTGCCATCGACCGCCGCCGCCGCCGCCGCCCCGGGCGCCCCCGCACCCGCCCGGGCGCCCTACGGACTCACCGACTACGCCGCGCCGCCAGCCGCCGCCGCCAACCCCTACCTGTGGCTCAACGGGCCGGCCGTGGGCGGTCCCCCCGCCGCCGCCGCGTACCTGGGCGCCCCCCCGCCGCCGCCGCCGCCCCCGGGGGGCGCGCCGGGACCCTTCCTGCAGCCGCCGACCGCCGCCGGCACCTTCGCCTGCGCTCAACGGCCCTTCGCGCAGCCCGCGCCTGCCGCGCCCGCCTCACCCGCCGGACCCGCGGCGCCCGGGGAGCTGGGCTGGCTGTCCATGGCCAGCCGCGAGGACCTGATGAAGATGGTGCGGCCGCCCTACTCGTACTCGGCGCTCATCGCCATGGCCATCCAGAGCGCGCCCGAACGCAAGCTCACGCTCAGCCACATCTACCAGTTCGTGGCCGACAGCTTCCCCTTCTACCAGCGCAGCAAGGCCGGCTGGCAGAACTCCATCCGCCACAACCTGTCTCTCAACGACTGCTTCAAGAAGGTGCCCCGCGACGAGGACGACCCAGGTGAGGGCGGACAGGTGCTTCCCGGCCGGACCCTTACCCACACCCGCACCCCACTACGCCCACCCCGCAACTCACGCACACGCAGAGGCAGGCCAGGGTGGGATAAAGGTCAAAAGCCTGAATCCTTAAGCCTAAAATCACTCCTGAGTGGTGTTCCTTAGGCGGTTGGAAGGGAGGGTCGAGTTACCGGTAAACGGATTAGGAATAAGAACACGGGTGGGCTCTCAGATAAGGGTTGGCTGTGAAGAGATTCAGATGAGCCGAGAATCCCATCACATTTCAGGAGAGTGAGGTGGGGAGAGACTGGGAGTTGGTACCCGCTGTACGCAGATGCGTTTCGAACTTTATCTGTTTAGAAATGTAAAAATGGAAACCCCAAACTTGCTTTGTGCGGATCTAAGTCCCGGAGGTGAGGAGGGCTGGGTGATAGTGGCTTGTTAGTGGTTTCCCTCTTAGCTGAGGAATGAGGTAAAGAAAAGCTCAACAATGACAGAAACAGATTCTTACTGGAGGTTTTCAGAAGGAGCTCAGGAATAGGAGTGTGGGGTGAGAATCAGGTTAGGGAAAAGAGAAAACTGTATCGTAGCCTTCTACAGCAGGAGTCCCCAACCTCTGGGATCTAATGCCTGGTGATCTGAAGGGGAGTCGATGTAATAATAATAGAAATAAAGTGCACAATAAAAGTAATGCACTTAGACTACCCCCCCCGCCCCGCCCCCAACCATCCCTTGCCCCCTGCATTGGTGGAAAATGTTGTCTTGCAGGAGACCAGACCCTGGTGCAGAAATGGCTAAGGATCAGTGAGGGATACAGGATTCTGTGTAAATTTTGTAAATGCTCTGAAGTAGTTGTATTGTTGTTCAGTTGCTCAGTCATGTCCAGCTCTTTGCAACCCCACGGACAGCAGCACTCCAGGCCTCTCTGTCCTTCACCATCTCCCAGAGCTTGCTCAAACTTAGGTCCAATGAGTAGGTGATGCCATCCAGCCATCTCATCCTCTGTTGTCCCCTTCTCCTCCTGCCTTCAATCTTTCCCAGTATCAGGGTCTTTTCTAATGAGTTGGCTCTTCACATCAGGTGCCAAAGTATCAGAGCTTCAGCATCAGTCCTTCCAATGAAGAGCATTGCTTTCCAGTTGAAATGCTGCACAAACCACACGTGGTTGAAAAATTGTCTAGCAGCCATGTGAAAAAAAAGTAAAAAGATTTTAAGAAGTAAAAAATCTTTTTACTTTTTAAGAAGTAAAAAGAGAATTTATTTTTTAAAGTAACCCAAAATGTCATTTCAACATGTAACGCATATAAGAAATTATCCATGAGCTTATTCTTTTGGTACTAAGTCTTCAAAATCCTATGTATGTGTTTTATACCATATCTCACTTGATACGAACCACTTTTCAAGTGTCCAGCAGCCATGTGTGGCTAGTGGTTACTTTACTGGGCAAGGCACGCAGCTCTCCAAGATGCATCTGCCAGATTTGGCCTCTAAATCACCTGAGGTGATCCTGTCAATTGTCACGTACACTCCTGGACTTTCTAAGAAGGTCAAGGATCTCAAGCCAGTGTCTTGTCAAAGCTTTTGGTAGCAAGGTGACACAATATAAATATTCTGGTAGGAGTAGGTATGATTGGTTGTTTAGATGGTAGTTACGTGAATTAAGTTTTTGTTCTGCAACTGTTTGCAGAAAATGTGTTGGTGGAGGTAATGGATGTGGAAAGGTGTGTGGTAGTGGTTAAGAATGCTTGAGTCTAGAGACAACGTGCTTATATCCTGGCTCTACCAGTGCTAACTGGGCTTCCCAGGTGGTGCAGTGGTAAAAAAAAATCAGCCTGCCAATGCAGTAGATAGATGTAGGTTCAATCCCTGGGTCAGGAAGATCCCCTGGAGAAGGAAAAGGCACTCCAGTATTCTTGCCTGGGAAATCCCATGCCCAGAGGAGCCTGGTGGGCCACAGTCCACGGGGTCACAAAGAGTCAGACAGGACTGAGCAACTAAGCACGCACACACCGTTGCTAACAGGGAGAATGACAGGTTGCTAACCAATCTGCACCTCAATTTCCCCATCTGAAGAATGGAGGCGATGATATCACCCGTCTCCAAAGAGCCGTGAGGAGTAACTAGAGTTATCGATGTGAAGAACTCACTACAAGATAAGTGCTTTACGGTATTTGCAAATGCCAAAGATTCTTTTTACCAGAAGTGATGAGAGCCATTGGGAGAAAAAATCCTCAAAGATGACAGATCTTTTTTACTTCCACTGTGCTAGATAGTGAGGGTTTTTTCCTAAGCAGAGGACTAGCGTTGCTTGCATTAAATGGGGCCTGGTGGAGGAAAAGCTGGGAAGACATGCAAGGGTGCCTCTTGCCCAAGGCGAGGAACGGGTGTGGAGCTTCCTTGTACTTCCAAATAGATGCCATCCAAGGTGTGTTTAAAACAGTCAATTTAACTTGTCCTTTCTGTTGGACAAGGCAGAGGGTTGGGTATTGGAAGTTGTATTTTTCCAGTGGAGTATTTTTTCGGGGCAATTAATATACCCTTTCAGCAAATGATAATGATAATAGATACCTTTTTCTTTTCACTGCTCACTGTGTATGGCTTCTTTGCGGAGATCTATCATTTACCCCTCACGGCCAACCTGTGAGGTGAGTACTGTTCTTACCCCTATTTTTATAGATAAACAGAGGCTCAAGTTCAAGTAGTGTCATCTGCCCCAAAAGGAGGAATTTAAACAACAGAGTGGATTGAGCATCTCTGTCGAGTTTCATGAGAGCCTGCCTCCCTCATCTCAGACCCAAAGCTGAGCATGTGAAGCTTCCCTGGTGGCTCAGTGGTAAAGAATCCGCCAGCCAATGCCAGAGGCGTGGGCTTGATCCCTGGGTCAGAAAGATCCCCTGGAGAAGGAAATGGCAACCCACTCCAGTATTCCTGCCTGGAGAATCCCATGGACAGCGGAGTCTGGCAGGGCTACAGTCCATGCAGTTGCCAAAGAATTGGACATGACTTAGTGACTAAATGATAACATGGGCATGTACGCCTCCTCTAACCCATCTTTCTCATCTTTGCAGGGAAAGGTAATTACTGGACCCTGGATCCGAACTGTGAGAAGATGTTTGACAATGGCAACTTCCGTCGGAAGCGAAAGCGCCGCTCAGAAGCCAACAGCACCCCCTCGGTGGCCGTGGCGACCTCGAAATCAGAAGAAGGGCTCTCCCCGGGACTGGGGTCTGGAGTGGGTGGGAAGCCAGACGGAGACAGTGCCCCTGCGTCGTTGAGACCCTCCCAGTCCCCAGAGCCTCCTGAGGACACCAAGAGTACTGCCTCCTCACCGGGAGTGTCCATGCTTTCCTCCACCCCTTGCCTGAACAGCTTCTTCAGCAGCCTCAGCACCCTAAGCGTCGGTAGCAGTGGGAGCACACAGCGGGCACTCCCTGGCGGCCGCCCCCTAGGGATCCAGGGGCCCCAGGTGCCCTCAGGCGGCGTGTTTCCCCCCAGCTCCGTCCCGGAGCCCTCGTCAGACCCCTTACAGCTGAGTCACAGTTCCAGCAGCAGCAGCAGCAGCAGCAGCAACAGCAGCCAGAGATCTTCCTACTACGGCCCCTTCCCCGCCAGCACCAGCGGGGCCCCGAGCAGTCCCTTTGGCAGCCCTTTCTACAACTTCAGCATGGTCAACAGCCTCATCTACCCTCGGGAGGGCTCCGAGGTATAGAGCCCCAGTTCCCAGACTCAACCATTACACACTTGAGATCTCATGAAAATACAGATCTCCAGGCCATAGGTCTGGGGCAGGAACTGAGATTGCATTTTCTCCAGTGCTCACGGCAAGGTCCACTGACCACACTCGGAACAACATGTGGATGCAAACTTCTCCTTTACCCGGCAAGCTTTCTCTGGATAAAGGGCCTCCCTGGAGAGAAATCCAGTCCAGTCTGTCCTGGGATGGTATC